ATTTCAATGGAACTCCACTAAAATCAGGCTACCAAAATTCTTGGCAATGATATCTACATAAACATCATTCTGATCCATTATCAAAACATTTACAAGCTTCCAGGGATGATATTTTACTGATTAGGAAATAGAAGGATAGTTTTCCCAGCAGGCCTGCAGTTAGTTCATCCAAATCACTTCTTATTTAATTGGTATGTATTTCCTTCAAACAATTGGAAGCTGAAAAATATTTGATTGGGGTGCTGCAGGAATGAATGGCTGTTCCAAGGCAAAGCCTTTCCAAATAAGAATTAAAAAAATCAGTGCATTAGAATTAAAAAAAAATCAGTTTTCAGTGCATTCACATGGTAAAAATCTATGTTACCTTTGAAGAACAAACAATCCAAGAGTTACATTGCCTTATGCAAAATGAAGGTATTTTCTTACATTTCTTTTATGAGTAAAATAATGATTATTTGCAATTAAATTTAAACTTTGTTAGTGGATATTGACAGTAGGAATGAAAAGTCTTTTTGCTACCTAAACTAAGTATATACAAGGTGCTACATTAGATTCATTTGATACAACCAATGTTTTCAACCACTGTAAGTGACTGCTTTTAATCTGCATTTTTAAAAATTTTGTCTAATGTTTTTTAGAGATTATTCAATAAGAACAAAATCAAATGGACAAAAAGCAGTTGTCTTAGATTAGAGAGAGAATTGTAACTTATAAAGGTGTGGCACTCATTTTTCAGTATAGATGTATCGGCTCTGATGAGCTTTTCTCTTCCTGTCTGCAGCACATTCTAGAGAGCATGCTTTGCCTACCAAGTGCAGAGTAGTGCCCAGGGACGGCTCTATGTATTTTGCTGCCCCAAGCACGGCAGTGAGGCAGCCTTTGGCTGGTAACGCGGATTTGGCGGCATGCCTGCGGGAGGTCCGCCGGTCCCGTGCCTTCGGCATACCCGCCGCCGAATTGCCAGCGGACCTCCTGCAGGCATGCCGCCGAAGGCAGTCTGACTGCCGCCCTCACAGCGACCGGCAGGCCGCCCCCTGTGGCTTGCTGCCCCAGGCACACACTTGGTGCACTGGTGCCTGGAGCCGCCCCTGGTAGTGCCTACAGGCCCTAACCAAGATCAGGGTTCTATTGTGCTATACGCGGCACAGACACACATAGACATCAGGCTCCCTGGCTGGACTACATCTCCCACAACACAGTCATGTGATTCCCCGAGACACCACTGAGAGTAGTAAGTTGAGTCCGCATTGTATTGTTGGAGATGTAGTCCTCCAGGGAACCCAGCCCATTGTAGACAATGGGGGCCCAAATTACAACTCCCAAAAGGCAAGGGCAATATAGTTTAGTGTTGACCTGACATGAAAAGAATCATTTTAGCTCAATTCAACAAAATAAAAAAATTCAATTTAAGGAACGTCAGTGTTTCATTTCAATCAAAAATGGCAGAACAGAATGTTTTGACATTTCTGAATAAATTGATTTTCAGAATTTTGTTTTATGAAAAAAATCAGATTTTCATCCTGTTTCAGGATGAAAGCAATATGGAAATAATGGAATTCCTGTGGCATGGAAATTCTGAATTTTGCTCAGCTCTCATGAAGAGTTCCATTTTGAACCTACAAATCTTGGAGCCGCACTGGTCCTGGGAGTCATGCCACATACCGATCTCATGTTTTAGATTTCTCAGCTTTTGATAAAGAAGTATTAATCTCTCAGTAAGGATGAGGTGGCCCATCTATCAGTCACATTCAACTGGTATACACTTGGCAAAGTTCCTAGAATTTTCATAAGATATTCCAGGATGAAATGAAGCCTTCATATCTTGTTCCACAGGATTAGAGAGATTCATTATTAGTGAATAATGTTAATCATGCTTTGTGCTTTTTATATTTTACCATCTGTCTTTGAAAAACACTAGGGATGTTATTTCCTTGGTGTCATGCCACTGGGTGAATCCCAAAGATCATATGAACTTTGAAATACTTTTTGCTTGAGCGCTAATGGAAGTACACCTCTCAATTTAGTGGTTTACTGATTAATATTTAAGTGAAAGTCAAATAAAAAATTAAACAGGCAGATGATTCAATCATATGCAAAGGAACAACATCCCTGGCTAATGTTGGCTGACAAATGACAAAAGTGGCATTTCCAAGAGTAGGAACAAATATTAATACATAGTGATGGTGCTATGATTAAAAAAAAGTGTGTTTTGCTTAACAGTAGTATTCCTGTGAACATCCCACAGAGAAAAATCCTCTGGCAGACACATTTGACATCCAGCCTTAATACCCTTTGCATTACTAATGAAAACAGTAGGTGGTATTCATCAAAGGGAATTGATTTCCTTGCAGTTTCATGAACCACTTTTAAGGACTTGGTCAGAAAGAAAGAAAGAGAGAAAAACAAACAAAAAATAGCAATGCGCTCTCTGCTATGTAAATGCTGCAAGTTCTTTACATTATGGCTGGTGCTGTGATACCCCGTGGTCAAATCCTTTAGACACATACATTCTATAAATAGCATTTCTGTGCCAGTCTGCAAGTAGCAATCTGTCTTTTTAATTATTCTTTTTCATTACTGAACCCAAATTGGTTCATGTCAATGTCTTTGGCTGATATTTCAGCTCAAACACTAACATGCTTTCTGGTGAGATTTCCTGGCTTTCATCCATTCATAGATGAAACCATAAATGGCCAGATCCTAAAATGTGCTGATGTCTGCTGTTTCCAAGCAGTGGGAGTTTTGGGGTTCATTGCCTTTTGCGATCAGGCATGTTGTGCAGGGATGCACAACTTTTCCTCTCTATTTTACCAACTTTTTTGAATCAAACCCAAACAATGTTTTGAGCTAGTTCCCATTTTATCCAAATCTGGCTACCAGTCCCTCAGAAAAAAATCTGTTAGCTACACAGAGAGGTATTTTTGAACTTGCTATGTTTTGACGTATCTGTAATTAAATTGATACTGCAATCACTGTTTTGCATTCAACCGTAGCAGCTTGTGTGTGAGAGAATGTAGGATACCTCCTGCCTTCTGAAGATGCAGTTATTACATTTTGAAGGATAAAAGGTCTTTTTTATTCCTTCCAATTTCTCTTTACCTTTGTATTTATTGTGCAACATACACCGCGTTTCCCCATCAAATGTCTATGCCCTGCAGGGGGTAAAAGAATACATGAAATGCTGTGTCGCAGAATTATCACCACCAGGAATTTCACAATGAGCATGGGGTGGGGAAGAAGAACTCTCATCTAACATTTGACTGATACCTGGATTCTGTGCTGTGGTAATAAAATTCTGATGCTCTGATATTCCGTGGAATTCAAAGGAATGACATACTTTTTGCTAGAGGTCCATATTGCATGTTTTAGCTGGTGTTTTAAGCAGCTTCAAAATAGATAATTTAATTGTAGGCAAATAGGAAATATTAAACACTGAAAACATTATCCCTTTGAAATCAATGGCAACACACTTTTTCAGTGGGCCCAGAAGCGATATTAGCTGTATGTGGGCATGGAATTAAGGTTGTCATGACAGTGTCAAGATGGGGGGTTAAAAACATTTGGTTCATTCTTTTTCCCTTTGCATAAACTCTGCTGTAACAATTCATTTCTTTGTGACTCGCACGCTGCTTAAAAAAAAATCCACTCTGACAGTCAGAGGTCCATCATTCATTAGTCTGATACCATACTCAAACCTTTTCTGTCATGTGAGAAATATTCAGGGGTCTATAGATTAGGCAGTGAACAGGCACTATCCCACTTCAGGCAAAAAAGAAACCTTTAATCTCTGTTAAACCTCTGTGACAAAGTATAATAGCTGGTCTCAACAGCATTTCAACCAAGTTCATTAGACTATGTATAAGGAGAGCAGATTTTAAAGGCTGGCTTAGAAAGTAATCAGTTGGTCTCCCAGATGGTCCAAATGTGACTCTTCAGGAGTACGCATGTTAAAAAGCCTGTATAAGTACAGCCTTTTCTTTATTTGAATGCTTTGTAGCTCTCAGGCCAAAGCTATCAAATGTGTTGGTGAGTCAGCAGTTAGTGCTGAAGGAAAGCAAACTGAAACCTTCCCATTCCTATGAGAGACAGTGCTCATTGTTTAGCCTGAAGCACTCAGGTGCTTTATCTCCTTTCCTGTGTGTGTTTATTTTCCTAGCTGACAAAGCTGCAATGCTTAATTTATTTAAATGTATTCTGGATTGGCAATGAAAATGTTCCTATTCTTTCTCCTACCTCCCCCATTTTACTTTTCTTGCACTGAAAAATGGTTTATGTAATGGATGAAGGCATAAGTAATAGTATTCAATTAATTTTTATTACTTTGTAGTCCTTCATGGGTTTTTTGTTCTTGTCAGATGAAAGATTGATATAGCAGTATGAACCAGAGCACATACCAGAGGCACATCTAGACTGTTGGACTAATGGCTTACTTATTAATATTCATGAGCCATCTCATTTAGCAGGCGCTCTTGGGACTTGATTAAAGTAAGGAACACTGCTATTGCTGCTGTAGCTGGAAAGAGCCTTATGTATGACACAGCTAGCAGTTTCAGTCTTTGGTGTCGGCTGTGACTAACTGCTGCAGCAACGTGCAGACTCTTGTATCTAGTTTTTTTAAATCAAGGACTACATTTGGGAGAATGAAGTTCAAAGGCTCTTTCTGAAGGTTTTAGGTTCGCTCTTCTAACATGTGCTTTGTGTTTTGATCCCAAAGGTCCGGAGGAAGAGATGACCATGTAGATACTACAGCCTGAGTGCAGCATAATGGGAAATGGTGAATGGAATGGAGCTGGTCTGCAGCCTTGAAAGCAGCCATCCTGTGGACTATTTCCTGGTCAGGGACACTTCAGTCATCAGAGGCATTCTCCACTGACTTCACTGAACACCCACTGGATTCTTCTTAATCCCTTAGGTTGGAATTTGAGTTTCCTCCCTTGCAATTTTGAAGCAATTTTAAAATTCCATCTGGTATACAGAGTGGAGCAATACAATCAGCAACAATGGGTGACATGACAAACAGCGATTTCTATACCAAGAACCAAAGAAACGAGGCCAACCATGCAGGAGAGTTTGGGTGCTCGCTGGAGGAGCTGCGCTCCCTCATGGAACTCAGAGGAACAGAAGCAGTAGTAAAAATTAAGGAGACGTATGGGGACACAGAGGGCCTCTGCAGGCATTTAAAGACATCACCAACAGAAGGTAAATGCGTTTCCCTTTCTTCATTTGAGTTGGGTTGTGCAGGGTGGTGAGATTCATATAAAGGACCTCCACCTAAAGTAAATGGTGGAGGGGGTAATCTTGCTTCCCTTCTGAACTAGGATTCATACAGCGCTTCTGTTATTCCCAACAATGACAGTATACCACTACAAAGGAAAAACACCTCTGAAAGGGGAAATGAAGAAAGACCTAGACAACCTGCTTGTCAAATATGGCTTCTTGTTACAGCTTGTGTGTGTGTGTGTGTGTGTGTGTGTGTGTGTGTGTGTGTGTGTGTGTGTGTGTGTGTAAAAATAGGGCTGCATATTCAAGTTGTGAATGTGCTAATTACATTTTAAATAGAAGACAAATAAGTAAATGAGAAATTCAGCTCCAATTTTATAGCAAAAGGAAATTGCATTCTGAGGATGCTCTAACTTGTGTATGGTTTTTTTGGGAGTAAGAGGAGAATTACTTTGAAGGAATTGTTATGCTATATGGTTATCTAGTGGTATGAAGAGAACTTTTAGGTTATGGATATTAAATTGGTCAATAGAGCAATATACAGTATATATTTTCTTATAACTAACCTTGACTTCTGGTAATACCGTAGATAATTTTGCTTAGGTTACTATTTGACTATGAGTATTTGCTTTTTCTATTGGTAATTGCAACAGTGGGCCTTCCTCCATTTAATAAGCTGTGTCATAATCATTCAATAGTCAATTCTCATAAATTGCTCATAGCATTTAACACTAACTGTATTTTCATATCTAAAAGAAACAGGAACACTTTAGGTTAATAACACTGTCTTTGAATCTATAATATTCATTGTCTTTGTCTTCTCTTGTAATGCCACCAAGACCCACTCATTCATTTTAACGTTTTCCCCCCTTTTTCAGAGAGGTAGAAGTGTTAGTTTAAGGTTTGATTCTTTTTTTTAAAGTAACCTTTTAAAATTAGTCATTTAGACATGAGTAAGGAACTAATTACTGAAATTCCTGAAGTATTAGTTTAGTGATAAGCCTGTCACTTTATTATAATATCATGTAATGTGATATTATAAGCTTACACAAGGAAAAGAGTCCTCAGGAAATAGATTTGTGTTTGTCTTAAATAAATTCTTCATAGCCCTACACATACTGCTTTTCAGTTACCTATTATCAGAATTGGTCAAGTGTTGACACTATGATAAAGATTTAGTCCACTTAGTAATGATTTACTAGGCAAAACTACCAAAAAATGAGCAACAATTTCTAGGAGTACCAGAACCTTCACATATCATGATGTACTGTAGGAGAAACAATGAAACAGGAATATTGTGGAGAAGATTTTGGTGTAGTACAGTATGTGCTAATATACAAATATGGCAATACCTCTGAGATACATAACTCATGGCTTGGAAGCATGTCTTTTTAGGTGGGAATACTACTGACTGATTGTATACTATATTGAAATATTTATTTAAGACATGCAGAGAGGGCTTTGTATACTGGGAATCTATCTAGTTGGAGATAGAAGTCAAACTTCAAAGGGATAGTGATAGGTCAAACTTTAAATATATTTTTAAAAATAGAGCCTCATCCATTCTACTAAAACTTACTTGTATCCCTCTTCACTGTCATTTGCATTCAACACTATTACTATGACATTCTATAGGATCTTCTTTTGCTATGGAATGAAGGAAACAATCAAAATGGAGTTTGTTCATATAGACATGAGTTTCACATGCACCTAGGGTGACCAGATAGCAAGTGTGAAAAATCGGGACGGGGGTGGGGGGTAATAGGCACCTATGTAAGAAAAAGCCCCAAATATCGGGACTGACCCTATAAAATCTGGTCACCCTACATGCACCCAGAATAGTAATAGGATTGAGAGCCCAGAAAATTGCCAAGATGGTTGTGTACATTTTCAAAGGGTAAAATCACCCCATCCCTTGGAGTTTTCTTTCTTGCAATGAGTAACAAGTTACGCCACGGATCCCTTGAGGGCCATCTGTATGGAAGCATGTGGCTCTGCAGCCAAAAGATTCAGCCAGCCTATCTTCAGTGACACCATGCTGCTTGAGCTTCCTCTACCGGCAGCCCCTCCCCCCCATCCCAAAATCTCCAAAGAACATTTTCACATTGCCTAAAGCTGCAGATTCCCTGCAGGGCTTGTGAGGGAGGGACACAGTATGCATGATCCCAGGCCACTTCCTCTCCATTAAAAGATCCATGAACTTTGGTTGGTGAGAATCCTGTGCATGGCTACATGCGAGCTCTGGTGGTTACTCTCCATGCACAAATCTATGGAGCAAGTACCACCTCAATATTACAACACTGAATTTATTTTCATGGAGTATTGAATAAGTGTAAGAGCTGACAGAAAATTTTCACCTGAAAGCTGACACTTGACATTTCACCATATTGAAATTTATCTGACCTGAGTCCATTTGCTTGCATGATATCATATTAGGAAGGTTATAAGGTGTAATTAGTGAAGAATTTTGTCTGACACACCTTTTCCATTTTGATATTTGATTTAGTGCCTACACACTGCTAGGAAGAGCCACTTAAACTCAAAGTGGCTGTTTGAGGTCTGGTTTAAAGCCTTTGAAATGATGGCATCTAAGTTAGACAATGCAAATATAACTCAACCCTTGTTGATACTGTTGTACATACCCTTTCTTGTGCTTTTTGAATTCTGGTTATTAAATATCTAACCTCATCTATTAATGCTAAAATAGAGTTTGACAGAGCATACTGATTAATATAGTAAGATTTGCCAAGTGAACATATAATATATTTTGTCAATAACATGTCTTCTTTAGACTCTTCTTTACATTTTCCTTGATCTTGTGTTTCTTAATTGTAGATGTGTTTGGTCCTTGTTCTCATTATTCTTAAGGAATTTCTTGAAATAAAGTATGGTTTTGTTGTATTGGAAAGCTACTATTTAGGCTTTTTTCGAAAAGCCTATGAAAACACTTTCTGTGGGGAAAAGACAAATATGTCCCTGCTTGAGATCAAATTAATTTTCATTAAAATATTTTAAATAGATTTTCATAACATGGTGTTTCAAAAATCAAGGAGCACCCAGCTATCTGTCGGTGTACAAGACACCATTTGAACCAGGTGAACAGCTCTGTGTTGATAGTTGTATAACTTTCCATGGAATTTGAGTCTGTGAGGCCGCCTCAAGCGTAATGATACCTTATGCAGGAGGAAAGACTGCTGTTACCATGTGCTGAGTTAGCTGGAAGAATATCAAATGTATTCCTTCCAGAAATTAATATGTAAATATATTTAATCTATAATTTTAGGTAGTGTGCGTTAATATAAGTTATGCAAGACATTTTTTCTTCAGAGAACAGCAAAACTATCCATTCCTTTTAAATAGTAATTACTATATTAATTATTTAAGTGAGAAATCATGTGAGACAGTTTTTCAGAGGTAAGATCCTGAAATGTAAAAGCAAATGTGTCTTTAATACTGATGCGTGTGTTACCTTGTTCACTTCTACATCCATCTAGAGAAGCAGCTGTTGCCTTGGTAATATCTGGGCTGTCATGTCTGAAGCAGCACCTCCAAGAGATGTTACATTTTAGTGATGGTGTTACAGCACCAGAGAATAAGCTTGTCGGCTGCTGTAAAGTAATTATCTGATGTATCAATCTTTTAGAAATGGGGCTGGTGCAAACTGAACCCATTTAAGACCCAAACTTTAAAGACTGAGTCAATGGCATCTGGATTTTAATCCCCTCTGGATTTAATAATCAAAACTAAAATCACCCCATTTTCTAGCAGCGTCTCTTCTGTAAAAAGACTATGATAAGCAGAAAGAATCAATGTGCATTTTAACCATATATTCATTTTCAGAAGCCAGCTTTCGTGTTATGGTAACTATCCTCTTGCTAAGGTATGATGTAATGTTTATCTTGCACCTCCCTCCCCACTGTTTTTGTTTTCAAATGGGTAGTTGTTATACAGCAGATATAAATTGACAGTGGCTGCTGAACAAGTGTGGGTTCATTTCATTTTTAGTTATGACAATCCAATAAAGCCTTACATAATTTTATTAAAATATTCAAACAGAATCACTAAGGAGCAAAAACCAACAGCATAACAAAACGGACCAATTATTTGGTGCCACAAAACAGGAGAGAGAAACAAACAAAGCTAGCAAAGCCGGAACAGAGACTTACGGTGTATAACCAGTGGAGACACTCCAGCCTGTTTCTGTTAAACTATGGTCACATGAGTTTTCCATCAGTTCTAAATCCTTTCAAAGGTACTGTGAATAATTAGATGTTAGAACAGTAACGTAAGTTAAAGTATTTAAATAAAAATTATTTTAATACAGAAGTTTACTATTGAACCAGACTGACTTACAAAAATTTAAAAACTTCAAACTGAGAAATAAGTGGAAGCTAGACATTTGTACAGCAATTGAAATTGCCACAGAATGGGAAGGAATGCTCCTAGGAATGCATTGATGCAAAATTTAGAAAAATATAAGGCAACAGTGGAAGAGAAGGAGATAACTGTAACAAGGTTAGCATAAAAAAACAGAAGATACATTATACAACAGAAAGAGTCAAGAAAACAATGAAGTATTTGAATGAGCACTATATGTACTGTTCTGTTTTTTAGTGTCAGGGAAACAAATGTTGTCTGCTAAGAAATTTTTGTGGTGAAATCTGACACACCATAAACGGTGAGAAAAACAGAGCAAATGGAAGATTATGAAAGGGAAGAAATTAGTAATTCATAGGCTGAGTTTTAATTGTGCCTGTTTTTTGTTTGAATTGGCTGAAACAGGTATTTAACAGTTTCTATGCAGGATTGTAGGTTCTTTAACATCAAGATTAATGTAAAAGTCTACTGGATATTTAAACTTTTGAGGACCATTTTACACAGCTGTTCTATATTAATTTTAAGTACTAGGTGACTTTCTGCAAATTGTAATATTTTAATTAAAATACTTGCTCCAGAACCCAAGAGCAGCATCGCAAACA